ACAAGACATCTCTTCTAATTTTTCTCTGCAGAGTAGATGATAGAAAAAAATCTACAGAGTTAAATACTAGTACTTCCTTTTGAATGTCCATTTCCATAATGTGTTAGATGATATGGTCAGGAAATGGGTGGGAGAAATATGAGACAATTTTTAGTGGTAGCTAAGGAGAGGTACATTTACAGAGATCCCTGTTCCGCCAAATTTCTCTTACAATCAGTATTTCATCCCAATAATAAGAGAAAAGGACAAGCTTGCATTCTCTTCTCTCCACTTTGTCTCGGATTGCTCGGATTGTTTTCTGGCATTAGGAAATAGAGAGGGTAAATATGTATATACCATTAAACTATATATATATATATGTATCTCCATTATCCCAGTACACCATACTGGCAAGTGGGAGTTGGGATATGAATGAATCATTGCACTGGTCACCTTGAAGAAACCTGAAGCATTTGGCAGGCATTCAAAAGCTGGAGATTGAGTGAGTTAAGGGTAAAATCGATCCATCTTGCAGCTTTCTGCCTCCTTTTGTTGCAGCCTTGAAGCCTGAACTCTCTTGCTTTGACATTGAGAAGTTTCGAAAGTCCTGACGAATGCCCAGTAAAATTCATCAGGCAAGGTCAAGGAGCCCTCCTCGTCCCATGCAGACACAAACAGTTTGCTCAGGCACACAGAGTGCCGCTGAAAGCCAGGCAGGCTGCTCACTCCTTGAGATCAGTTCTTTCATGTCCTCACAGTCCATTCAACTGTCTGAGCATCTGGCTCCGGCAGCAGAGATACTGTGGTCGCCCGAGGGTGAGATTTTGTTCTGTTCTGGAATGGCCTTGCATGGAGAAAATTACAAGCTGCAGAATTGAATGAATTTTCCCACTGTGGGTTTTGTCAGACTGGGATTAGCTGAGGTGACACAAAACTCAAAGAAGGAGGGGACCGACCTCCCAGAAGGAGATCATCCTTGATTGCCTTCATTACGGCACTGAAGGGCAGCAGTCTCTCTGGGAGAACGAAGACTATGCCCCGAGCCACAACGGGTGTGAGGGTTTTACAAGGCAGAAATGGGACTTTAGGGGGTGGGGGTGGAAATTTCCATCTTTAAATCTGTTTTCTGTGGTTTCAGGATAGTAAATGCTAGCAGATGTTCTTATCCATATGTTGGCTTCTTTGTCAGGAATGTCTCAACTCAACGGTTCTTCTTTGCTGTAAGTCATTAAGCCTTCATTCCAAACCTTATGTGTTCCTAGATGCCATATCCCTGTGTCCATTCCTGTTGGCTCCCTCCAATGTCACCAATACAACGCAACCATCCATCACCTGGGCTCCACAAGACTAGGTAGCACCCTTCTGGCACTAGCCTCCTTTCTGGCCTTTCTACTTTCAACCTTTCTGATTCTTCTTCTGGTTCTCAACATATCTGGGGGGAGGGGTAACTTCCCTGAGCTGTGCAAATACTCTGGCCCCTCTGTGTCTAACTCTGCTGTCATCTTTGGCTCCTAAAAAGCCCTCACTGGTTTTTCCTTGACACCAATAACTTTTACGTAGCTCATGGAACATCAAACTCATCCCTCTTCTTGCCGCTCTGGACATTATCGCAGGAATTTAGAACTGAAAGAGCTGAACAGAGGGCTACTTTGTGCCAATCAATCTCTCTGCCTCCTCAGCTTTCAGAAAACCTTAAAGAAATTTCATAGCAGCTTGCCATCCTTCAGGACCAACTTGATTCTTTGTCTGCCATGGTACTCCAAAGCTGAAGAGGACTATATCTCCCGAACCCTGCTAGTAGGGAGTTCGTGGAGAAGCAACAATGCTGCTTCTATATCAATAAATCCAAACTGATTTGAGATGAGGCTCAAAGAGTCAGGAAGGAGGCTAAAAAACTGTAACAAGCTTCAGAACATCCCTGGAGGGTCACTGGTGTGAATTCCAGGCTGAAAGACTGAAGAAGCTGGAGTCTGATGCTCACAGGGGATGGCGGTAGCAGACATCACGGCTTAAGTAGAACGGAGCGCACACGTGCTAGGTTGACTTTCTCTTCTGTTTATTATTCTGTTGGATCCCTGGCTCACTGAGGGTGCTGCCCGCAATCAAGAAACGTCTTTGCCTCTCAGTTGATCTTTCTTTCACAGGTCAATCTTCTCCTGAAATGTGCTCACTGATTCACCCAGATAACTGTTTTGGCTAATTGAGACAGCTCTCTTTCTCTCTCTCTGGTCAAGTGGATAATTGACATTAACCCTAACAAATCAATCCCAATGTAAATGTATTTTTTTTCTAGATAGCTGAAAGCTCTGCTTTAGGTTTCAAATTTTGTTTTTGACTGTGAGAAGGGATAGAGCATAGTTCTTAGGGACAGAGATACAGGTCTGCCTTTAAATACCATCACTTTGCAGCTTTTGTAACTGGGTGCATAACTTAACCTCTCTTATTGCCGTTTTCTCACTTGTGAAATGGAGATGATAGGCTTATCCTACAGGATTATTGTGAGGGCTAAGCAAATGACTTTGCCCATATATACTGGCATATATAATATATATGTATATATATATTATATATATGTATGTATAATTTAGAATAATTTCAAATCTGGTGTATACAGGAGGTATTATTATTGCTATTATTAATTCAACCACTTAATACAAATATTACTAATAATGGTGCAAGCCTTTGAAGAACATATTGAACACTGAATCCTCAGTTATTCAACTCAGTGTTATGCTTTGGATGTAAAATGTCTTTCACAGGCTCGTGTGATGGAATACTTGATGTCCAGTTGATGGGGTATGTGGTGATATTGTATTCCCCAATATATTGTGAACACTAATAAACTTATCTGGGGTCAGAGAACAGAACAGCCACTAGATATAGAGGCCAGAAAATGGTGGCAACCACATCTTTAATCCTAGCATTCCAAAGGCAGAGATCAATCTGGATCTCTGTGAGTTTAAAGCCACACTGGAAACAGCCAGGCATGGTGCCTTTAATCCCAGGAAGTGATGGCAGGAAGCAGAAAGGTATATAAGGCATGAGGACCAGGAACTAAAGCTGGTTAAGCTTTTAGGCTTTTGAGCAGCAGTTCAGCTGAGATCCATATGGATGAGGACTCAGAGGCTTTCAGTCTGAGGAAACAGAATCGGCTGAGGTATTGGCAAGGTGAGATAGCTGTGGCTGGTTCTGTCTCTCTGATCTTTCAGCATTCACCCCAATACCTGGCTCTGGGTTTGTTTTTATTAATAAGGCCTTTAGAGATTCATGCTACAGGGGTGCTGTTTGGGGCAGTTATAGAACCTTCAGGAGGTGGGGGTCCAGCTGAAGACGTGGCTCTCTGGAGGAAAGGCGTTTAAGTTTATAGCCTGTTATAACCTGTTCTACCTGTGCTTTCTGGTCTGTGGCGATGAGGGCAAGCAGCCTCCAACTGCTGCTGTTGCTGCCTTGACTCTCGTCTTGCTGCCCTGCCATCCCTGCCACATTGGTTGGACTGTACCCTCAAACTGTTCACCAAGATAAGATAAGTCCCTTCTTATCAGATGTGTCATCACAGTGACAAGAAGAGCAAGTGACACAGAGAATTGATGCCAAGAAGTGAGGTTGTTGCTGCTACTGTGAAAATTCTGATAATGTTGTGAGCGGCCTTTGTGAGCTTGTTTACAGGAGGAATGTGGAGGAGTTGGGGCTACAGGCTGGAGAAGCCCTGGGATGCTAAAAGTAGTACTTATACTTGGGCCATTTTGGTGGGAGTTCATCAGATCAGAATGCAATAGAAATGCAGACATTAAAGGCACTGCATATGAGTTTTCAGAAGGAAATAAGTACTCTGCCAGGCATCCAGCTAATTTAGTTGGTGTTATATATAGCCTGATAAAAATCTTTTTTTGTTTGTTTTGTTTTTTGTTTTTCGAGACAGGGTTTCTCTGTGTAGCTTTGTGCCTTTCCTGGATCTCGCTCTGTAGACCAACCAGGCTGGCCTCGAACTCACAGAGATCTGGCTGCCTCTGCCTCCCGAGTAAAATCTACTGTCTAGAAAACTTGAGGAGGTTTGGATTCAAAAGTTAGGCATTAAGTTGTTTAACCGAGGAAATTTCAAAGCAGCATAACATGTAGGTTGTGGTATAGTCACTGCTCTCCGCTCTTTGATTTGCAGAGAGAGAGAGAGACAGAGACAGACAGAGACAGAGACAGACAGGGGAGAGACAGAGAGACAAACAGAGAAGAACAGAGAGGGGGAAAGGGAGAGGGGTAGGTGGGAGAGACAGAGAACAATGTGGCAAATAGCAGTTTGGCAAGGAGATGAATGTACATGTGGGTAAAATTGCAGACAGGGAGAACTAATTTGGTTCAAAATATAATTATGAAAGAAATTAGAGTCATTAAGAAAACACAGCACTTGGGTTTAGGAAAACAGGACAAGACCCCACCCATCAAAAGATGCAGAAGGTAACAATTCAGATCCATTTGGGAAAAAAAAAAAGAGTTTCTGAACAGAGAGAACATCCACGACATCCTGATGTAGCAGGACTACCTAGGGCAGTTTTTTTCCCCCTAAATTCAGCCAGGCACGAGTGCAGAGGATTGATTGTTCAGCTGTGGCTCAAGCGGGGCAGATTACATAAGGAACAGGCAGCAGAACTTGGTATCATTGTCTGTGTACTCTTTGTTTTGCAGACATTCAGGATGTGAAAGTGTGGAAGTCTGTACCAAGGTTTCAGAGAGCCATGCATGGCCAGGCAAAAAAATGTAACAACGACCAATTCCCTGCCCAGACCTCATGAGGTGTGAGCTGTGAGGTTTCGGTAGAGGCCCCAGGATACTGGCGATTTCGGAAACTTGAAAAGTTTGCCAGGGAACTCTGTGAGTACCAAGGGGAGCCAGTCCGATATAGAGACCACGATTACTGCAGACAGCACAGGTGGAGGCGGAGCCACTCAGACCTGTTGGAATCCGGATAATGTCATCATGAGCTCCAAGTTCCAGACATGGAACTGTGGAACGTTGGGTTTGGTGTTTGCTCTGATGAGTTTTGGCTTCCTTTGGTCCTCCTTGCTATATGCTTCAGAATGGGAATATTTCATCTCTGTGCCGTTATATTGAAGGCATGAAATAGATTTTTGATTTTACAAGCGCTGATAATGTAGACAGTGCCTTGAGCATCAGAATAGATTTTGGACTTCAGACTTTTGAGTAAGAACAAAGATTTCTGGCCCGTGGCTTGGGGGTTTGGGTTCTGTAGTTCTGAGGCAAAGGCTGAAGGTTTACATTGTAAGTTCTCGGTGTTGCTGATGTTCCTGGTCCAAGCATCACACTGTGAGATTCTCGGTTATAACCCAAGCGGTTCCAGGCTATCTTAAATACGATATTCTTTGTCTTTTTACTGTTTGTCTGCCACTCGAAGCCAGTAACGTGCACCTTGCTGTCAACATTATAATATACACAGGTCAGTTTAAAAAACACATGAAGTTGTGAGATTATGAATTTTATGGGAGCAAATTAGAAGATACTTTCAGGTGTTGCTTAGTGATTGGGAGCTTTTAGTCTACTAATGCTATAAGGAGCTTGGACCATTTCCTTTAAGGTTGCATCTTTTTATTTGAGTGCAGGAAAAATATTAACTAGGCTGAATGAGTTTGAAATCCCCATCCTATACCATTTTTCTTTCCTTTGTAATGTGAGGGCTCTATCTACATAAAAAAACTATTCTACAGCACAGCAGAGAACAGCCTGGTAGACCACATTGACTTGTATTTTAGCCTCCTCAATGCATCAGGGTAATACCCACGACCTGTTGGTCGGTAATGCACCTTCTTATTATGTCAGTTTCGAGTCGAGTGATTTTATCAGTAGAGTGCTAAATTCATGTACGAGGCATGAAAATTCACAGGACTGAGTCTAGCAAGCTGTCTTATCACAGTGAATTCTTTTTCCTGTGGTTACAGAGTAGATTTTTGTTTACACTGCTGCCCCTCCTTAGTTCAACAGTATTCAGGACAGGTAAATAATACTTCTGGCCTCACCAGATTGGAGAGATTGCTTATTCTTCCAAATTTTAGATAGCTGTGTTGGGAGGGTACACTTCTATAGAAAACATGAAGTGGACTGACTTTAACTCACCCAGGTCTTCATTCTTCATACTTTGTAGTCTGCCTGTTTTGTAAGCCTTAATATTTACTTTCTATTATGAGTCTACATTTTTTTTCCTATATTGATTGACACCCTAACACGGGCCCCTTTTAGGTGACTCAATGGCAGTCATATTCCAAGTCTGCTGTGTGTCCATCTTTAGACTGTATTGCAAGGTAGGGAAAATATTTGTTTAAACTCTTGAAAGTTGGATTTTCTATTATTTGTAAGTCTATTTCTTATCACATCTCTTCATATAATCAGTACTCCAGAAGGTAGGAATATTCTGCCAGCTCTAGTCATTTGTAAGGACAACTAAAAAGTCTGGTAGGGAGGATGTGGCTCAGGAGAACACAAAGAATGACTTTGGACTTTTGTGATTGGAACAGAACAATGTCAACTACATTTATGGTAGATAAAACTAACTAAATGATGGCACAGATAACTCAAGTAGGCTTGTCTGAGTGTGACATATCACCCCACAGAATGCTATAACCTAATAAATTCCAGACAGAGGGAGAAAGGGATAGTTAGAAAGGGTATTTTGTAAACAAGCATTAGCAATGATGATTCAGAATACTCCATACAGATGATTTGCTTGCACTTAGTTATTGATCATCTCAGTGGTCAATAGAGTTATCAGAAACCTTCCAACTATCTACTCCATGGTTGTGTGGTAGCTTCAGCAGCTTTGGGTGTTGCATTCTTTCTTATCTGTCAGGACAAAAGGAAAAAGCAAATAATTCTGTCCTGGATATTTTTTCTGAGAGAAAGAAAGCATTGCCCTAAGTGTTTCAGCCTGCTTGTATGTCTTATCAGAAAGGACTGACTCACATGATCATTCAAAATCAGTCGTTTGTTGAGAGGGAGAAAAATAATTATGACTTATTTTAACCAATCAGGAGTCATTTGCTCAGGATCAAAGTGGTCCCCTTCCCCGCCCTTGTCCTGCCCCACCATGGAATGGCTACTTTGATGATAGCTAATATAAACCAAGATTTGATGGAGAATGTAAAGTAGAAAAGTGGGAATGGATGATGGCTGCAAGGATAACAATGGATAATGTCCACATGCCATCCAAATACTACTGGCCTTTTTGGCCTGTGATGTCCAGGGATATCTGGACCACTCAGGACAGTGGTTCTCAACCTTCCCAGATGCTGTGACCCTTTAATACAGTTCCTCATGTTGTGGTGATCCCAACCATCAAGTTATCGTCATTGCTATTTCGTAACTGTCATTTTGCTACTGTTATCAATCATAATGTAAATATTTTTTTGGATATAGAGGGTTGCCAAAGGGGTTGCGACCCAAAGGTTGAGAAACACTGACTTAGGATCTGATCAGCCTCAGACAGAGCTTGGATGTTCTAGTAACATGACACATGGAAGCAAAAAATATTTTTATTTGGGCAAGTTAATTAATTGTAAAATTAATGTTCTCATAGAGCTCCATAGAGAGTTTCAGAGTTAGAATGGCAGCCTGAGACCCAAAGCTAAAGTATTGTGTTTAAAGAGTAGCAATTAAAATAATCCATACAGAAGATTTACTTTAGCTGTTCAATCACCTGAGGGTTTTAGAGCATAATTCCAAATAACTCAGGTAAGTACATTAGTAAGACTATTTTAAAAAATGAGAGACTTTGAGGAAGGAATGAGAAGAAAATGGGATGATATGGCTTCCTAGCCAATCCAAGAACTGGTGTGGAAGTTAGGATCCCAGAGTAACTACAACAAATAACAAGTGTAGTTGGTTGTTATTTTTTTCCCCTCTTTGAGGGGCCCACCACACAGCTCCCAAACAAATACATGGAGACTTATCTTCCTTATGAATGGCTACCCTTAGGTTGGCTTGTTTCTAGCCAGCTTTTCAACAAATTAAATTAGCCCATTTATCTTTTGTCCCTGGGCTTTTTACCTTTCTTTATTCTATATATCTTTCTTCCCTTCTTACTCTGTGGCTGGTTGTGTGGCTGGATGGTTGGCCCCTGGGATCCTTTTCTTACTCCTCTCTCTTCTCTTTTTCTCCTTCTATTTATTATCTCTGCCTGGCAGCCCCACCTGTTTCTCTCTCCTGCCTAGCTATTGGCTATTCAGCTCTTTATTAGACCAATCAGGTGTTTTAGGCAGGTACATAACACAGCTTTACAGAGTTAAACAAAAGCAACATAAAAGAATACAACACATTTTTGCATCATTAAACAAATATTCCATAGCATTAACAAATGTAACACATTTTAAATTAATATTTCACAACAAACAAGATTGAGGAATTGCCTTCTTAGGCAACATTAGTCACTTTAAACTATTGGTCAGAGACAAAGTAAAAGGTTAATGAAGTAGAAAAGAGAGTTTGAAAAGCAAATAACAATGGAAGTAGTGACTTTTATTTTGTAGCATTATAAACCAACAGATAAATGGTGCCAACCATTGGTGGACACATCTTGCTGTCCATACTTTAAAACTGAATTTTTTATCTACTTGAAATATAAAAGTATGGGCTGGAGAGATAGCTCAGAGGTTAAGAGCACTGGCTGTTCTTCCAGAGGTCCTGAGTTCAATTCCCAGCAACCACATGGTGGCTCACAACCATCCGTAATGAGATCTGGTGCCTTCTTCTGGCCTGCAAGCATGCATGTAGGCAGAACACGGTATACGTAATAAATAAATAAATGTTTAAAAAAAAAAAAGAAATATAAAAGTAAAGATGAGCAGGAGAGCTAAATGTCAATGTATCTTTAAGAAGTATTGAAAACATTCAGCTCAAAGTCAGAGTAGTTAGGGGGAGGGACTGGAGAAAGAAGAGTAATGCAGAGTTTGAGATGAACAGCAGCAAAAGTAGACTGTGGTCATTGCTAGACTCATGCATATTTTAAAAGACTGAAATAATTGTCAATAGTAGAAGAAGTATTGCCTTCCAAGCTGCCACATAAATGTGCTATTTACATGTATTACTTAGTGTGTGCACATGCGTGTACACAAGCATGCTTACCAATGTGTCCATCTATAGATCAGAAGATAATGTGTGGGACTCCCATTCTTTCCTTCCACTCTGTGAGCTCTGGGGACTGAACTCAGATCATCAGGCTTGTAAGTAAGTGCCCTTATCAACTGATCTATCTCACTGGTACCCAGGTAATCTTTTGTTTTAAAAATTCATTGAAAATGGGCCTGGTATGGTGGCACATGCCTTTAATCCCAGCGTGTAGGAGGCAGAGGGAGAACTCACAGAACTCTGTGAATTCAAGACCAGACTGGTCTACACAGCACATTATAGGCCAGACAAGACTACATAGTGAGGCTGTGTTTCAAAAATACTCATGAAAATGGAAATGTATAAACAGTAAAACAAAATATGACTTATCATTTATAACATTTATATCATTTTTAGGACTAAAGTTTTGAGGACCTTTACATAAAAATATGTAAAGTGCTGTGCTCATATCATAGCATTTATATCAGAAACAGCTGGAGCATGATGGATCTGAGTGGGATCTAGACCAGGATAATGAGATAACCAGAGCAGGGGATTTGGATGGGAACCAAGATGGAAGCATTGCTGAATCAATTCTGGCTGAGGCTTTCATCATTTATCTTGCATAATGCATCTCCCCTAGTAGGCTGAGCAATAGCCCCCTAAATATTCCACTCCTAATCCCTGTGATCTGTAAATGTGGTGTCACTTGCAAATGCAGTCCTTGTAGATATAATTGAGCAAGGCCAAGATTGTACTAGATTGGTATGGACCCTAAATGTGATATGAATGTCATGTAACTAGTATCTGTCTAAGAAGAGAGAAATTTGGATAGAAAATTTCTGGACAGTAAACACCGTACTTTAAACAACACGCTTGTGAAAAATCAAGGAGTGTATCTTAAGGACAGTTGAAGAAGATGCATTGAATGCTGTGGGATGTTCTGTATGACAAATGTGTTGCTCTGATTGGTTAATAAATAAAACACCAATTGTCCAGTAGCCAGGCAGGAAGTATAGGCAGGACAAGGAGAGAAGAGAATTCCAGGAAGTGGAAGGCTGAGGGAGAGAGACATTGCCAGCCACCGCCATGACAAGCAGCATGTAAATATGCCAGTAAGCCACAAGCCATGTGGCAAGGTATAGGTTTATAGAAATGGGTTAATTTAAGATATAAGAACAGTTAACAAGAAACCTGAGCCATTAAGCCAAACAGTTTAAATAATATAAACGTCAGTGTGTTTATTTTATAAGTGGGCTGTCGGACTGCCAGGGCTTGGTGGGACCCAGAGAGAAAACTCTCAAGCTACAATTGAACTGAAAGAGAAGGAAAACAGCATGTATTGAGATTTGTGGACTGCAGCTAACACAGGAACGAATCAGTTTCTACCATCGGAGAGAAGGAAAAGTCTCACAATAATCATCTAAATTATTCCTTGTTTAAAAGCCTAGGGAGGAAAAAGTAAAGAGAAGAATGGGAATAATGATGATAAATGAAGAAATTGGGAAAAGCAGCAATGGAAAGGCAATGAAGAAAATCAATGAAACAGAAAGCTCTGTTTCTGAAATGATCAATAAGAGCCACAGCCCTCTAGGAAAGCCATCAGAGATGACCCAAGTTACCCAGCAGGAATGAAACTGAAGACGCCACTGGAGACCATTCGGAAATGATGGTAAGGAAGTATTCCAAGTGACTCTATATGCATACCTCTGACAGCTTAGATTAAATGCATCATTCCTTTAGAACCACAAACTAACCACAGCTCACCCCATAGGAAATAATCTCAAATCCTCATGACTACTAAATAAATCAAAATGTATAACTTTAAAACTTCTCAAGAAGACATCTCCAAGCCCAGAGAATTGTTAGAGAATTCTCCTGACCTTTCATAACACCACATCTACACCAGAGGGAGGGGATGTTCCCATCCATTTTATGATGGGGAGGGTATTGCTATTCTGATACAAAAGAAGACAAAGACTTCTCTGCAGAAAAAAACTTAAACCATGGATCATAGATGAGGTGGATGCTGGCATGGGCCAACTCCTAATTCTGGTTCTGGGCCTGGGTAGTTGCAGGGTTGTTCAACTGGCAAGCTCTCCCCTGTCTTCACCACCAGGGTGAGCTCTCCAGCATTGCCCTTGCTAGTTCAACCTTTGCAGCAACAAGCAAGGGGGAGGGCCAGTTCTCCCGTTTTCACATCCTCAGGGGCGGCTCTCCCACAGGCACACCTTCAGGGCCAGCTCTACGGTGTTGCTCAGGCAAGGTGTAGGGACCACTCTCCTGAGTGCTGCATCTGGTGAGGGGCAGGAACAGCTCTCCTGCTCTTATGACCTCAGAGCCAGCTCTCCCACCTGCCACAGGTGGTGAGGGGTGGAGGGGGAGGAGGAGATCTCTCCTCCACCCATGCTGTCATATGGCAGAGGAGGGGTGGGGCCAGGTATGTCTTCCTCCATGGTCACATTCTTGGGGCCAACTCACTTGTGTCCCCCTGTTCCATCCCACCCACCCCGTCAATAGGATCAGTTCTGCTGTGCTGCCCAGATGAGGTGCGGGGTCTGCTTTCCCAAATGTTGCAGCTAGTAAAGGAGAGGGTCATCTCCCCTGCCAGCTGGAGGTGGTAGGGGCAAGGGAGAGGACATCTTTCCTTTGCCCCAACCACCACACCACAGATGAAGGAGGTGGTACCATCTATGTCTCTCTCAGGCTCTTAGGGCTGGCTCACCTGGGCCCCTGTCTACAGGGTCAATTCTACTGTGCTGCCCAGGTGAGGTGCAGGGCTTGTTCTCCTGAGTGCTGCAGTTGGTGAAGGTTTGGGTCAGGTCTTCCACCTGCTGCAGGTGCCAAGGGCTGAGGGGAGGAGGGTAAGTAGAATCCCTAAGCATATGAATTGCAATCTATGACCAAGTAAGGTTTACTCTAGTTTGCCGTTGTAACCAGAAGTCCAATGAATAATGGTGGTGGTGGTGGTGGTGGTGGTGATGATGATGATGATGATGATGAGTGTATGTGTGTGTATGTGTGTGTGATGATTTGGGCATAGAATAATTCCAATGTAAAACATGCAGTTATGGAAATGTTGGTATTTATTTGTTTTCTTCCTTTAAGCATGGAATGTGCTCAACAGTGTGTAGACTTCTTCATGCTCTCTACTTATTATATGAGCTTCATGAACTTAGAAGTATAATCTACAGCTTTGATTCTATTTTCTCTTCTTGACTATACAATTTCATTTTCAACAAATTTGTTACAATCTGGGGTATGATTTTTCATGAAAAGAAATATAATTCCATGTTTAAAAGAATAATACCCCAACTCAGTGTATTGTTTTATTTATAATAGGGCTACGTTAGCTTTTAATATTCAGTTCTCCACAAATTAACACACTTAGAAATGTAACTTTAGTTGAGTCACTGACTACTGAAACCAAATGATCAAATGCCAATCATTTTCAAAGATCCCTTTAATCATTTGTGACTCTTCCTTTGAAACATGAACATGAAAGGATATGAAATATATTCTATCCAATGTGAAATTAATAAGTCTCTAGGAAATTATTTTGCTATCTTACAGAGAGTCATACTGAGATCAAGAGCAGAATCTTGGTTGCCATGGGATATTTTTAATTCTTTTTTTTTTTTTTTCAGAGTCTTGCAATGTAGCCCTCTCTGGCCTGAACTTTCTATGCAAACCAGGCTGGCTTTAAAATTACAGTGGTCCTTCTTCCTCTGCCTCTCAAGTGATTGGACAGGAAATTTAATTTTTTTAATGCAGTTAGTATTCTGGAAGTTTCCACATACTTTATAGCAAAGCTACCTAGACCACCTCAATGATTTAGACCAGAGAGGAATATATAATATACAACTGATTATTATCAACTTCTGGTGGCAGGAAGTACAATCAAAAACAGAATAGCAACAACAACACAAATCATGGGGGAAGCAACAATGAAACACAATTAAAAAATTAAACCTTTAAATTTTAACTGATTAAAATTAACAGTTGATTAGAAATTGGCAAAATTCTGTTACATAAGACTGCACCTATCACTTACCACTGTGTTTAATATGTCTATCTCTCTATGAAATAATATTGGCATAGAGGGTAGGGGGTAGGGGATGAGAACATAAGGGAATGGGATAGTCGAGCTGGAACAGGGATGGAATGGGAGAGCAATGAAAGAGACATCTTGATAGAGGGAGACATCATGGGGAGAGGGAGAAACCTGGTGATAGGGAAGTTCCCAGGAATCCCCAAGGATGACCCCAGCTTAGACTACTAGCTATAGTGGAGAGAGTGTCTGACCTGGCCTACCCTGGTAATCAGATTGGGGAATACCCTGTCATCACAGAGCCTTCATCCAGTAACTGATGGAAGCAGATGCAGAGATCCACAGTCAATCACCAGGCCAACCTCCAGGAGTCCAGTCAAAGAGTGGGAAGAGGGATTCTATGAGAAAGGGGCATCAAGAACATGATGGGGAAATCTACAGAGACAACCAAACCAAGTTTGGAACTCATGAACTTTAGACCAACAGTTGTGGAGTCTGGATGGGACTGGACTAGGCCCTCTGCGTAAGCGAGGCAGTTATGTAGCTTGCTCTGTTTAAGGGGCCCCTGGCAGTGGGATCAGGATCTATCCCTGGTGCATTAGCTGGCTTTTTGGAGCCCATTACCTATGGTGGGACACCTTGCATAGCCTTAACGCAGTGGGGAGGGGCTTGGATCTGCCTCAGCTGTATGTACCAGGCTTTGCTGACTTGTCATGGGAGGCCTTACCTTTTTGGAAGAGGGGATTGGGGGTTGGGATGGGGGGTAAAACTGGAGGGGAGCAGGAGGAGGGATGAGAGGGGCATCTGTGGTTGGTATGCAAAATGAATAAAAGTTTTCTTAATAAAAAAGAAATAATATTGGCATTCACAGTCATAGATCCACTGATTTTTATTTTTATGACACTCTAGTGGTGAGCTCATGTATAGCATGAGATATGGATTTGTTTCCCTTCACATTAAAACATCTGCTTATGTGGAGCTCATTACTCTCAACCAATGTATAAATTATTAAGCTAATCTTATTTGAAACGAGAATATGAACAGTTTCAGGAGCCAATATTTATTGGGTCATGTGAAGCCTTTATATATTTCTTTCCTGTCTTGGAGAAAGGTGAGCAGAAAAATCATTTCTGATTTATCAAGGAACAAATACAACCCAATTAACCCTAAACTTTAGAGCAATGTTTGAACTTTAAATCATTTCATGATGCTTCCCACATGAAGTAATTGTTTGACATTTTTTTCATTGTATTTATTTTTGGTGTGTGTGTATTTGTGTATTTGTATAAGCATAAATGTGCCATGGTGAGTGTGTGGAAAAGATGATAAGGCAAACTAGTTGATGGAGTAGCTCAGATAAAGGCTAAGAGTAGGTTAGTTGGTGGGGTAGCTCAGACAAAGGCTAGGGGTAGGTTAGTTGATGGGGTAGCGCAGACAAAGGCTAGGTTAAAACCTGTTTGTGAAGCTTCTGTTGGAGCCCATCTAGGCTTCCTGGTGGCTTTACCCAGCAGGTCTGCAAAAAGAGGATGACTGGACCATGGGCCTGAGTGTAGGTATTTGAAAGGGTCTACCCTTGGTTGTATCTCGAAAGGGGGAGGTCTTTGTTCCTCCCCTTGGCATTGTGATAAAAAGCCCTTTGGAATAAAGTTCAAGGCTGGTGGGTTGAGACCCAGACCCTCCCGAGGCGATCTTGTGTTTTCTGTCTTTTCTCTCATCGTCTAAGTATCTCTTTCTAGCTAATATTTCTCATTTCTCCCTACTCAAGAGTACCCTGTGTCATAAAAGTGGTGGCTGGTTGGCCACAAGCTTCCCCTGGGCTTTTGTTTCTCTTCTTGAGGTAGGAATGACATTTTCCTTGTGATACAGGGAGAACCTCTTCCAAGGGATTTCATTTCTACTTTTATCACGTGGAACTGCCAGAGTGATCTTCTTACACCTGTTGCTCATCCAAAAGCCCCTGGTTCAAAGTCATAAGCTCACACAGCTGTGTTTTACTCCTTCAAGAGGCACTTTCTGCATGGAATCCCCGGAAGAGCTTCCAGTCCATATTGCCTCCCCTTTTCCTTTTAGTGATGTTTCCTCCCCAGCTTACTGTGAAAAATTTCAGAGCTACAAAAGATGAAAGCCAATCCATGTTTTTTCCTTGAACCGTTCATTAGTTAACATTTTGTCGTGTTGTCCTATTGTGCTCATTCTCTGTGTACATTTGTTTGCATATCAGACACATTTCTTAAACCGCCAAGGTGGCAGGAATTAGAAACACTCACCTCTAAGGAGGCCAACAGACAAATGAGATCTTGGTCTTAAATAATCACATTGTATTAGTGTGCCCAGCGCTCTTATTGTTGGTTCATAACATAAACGTATAGTCCATATGGAAATCTCTCACATTATTCCAGAAAAAGTCTCACAACTATTTAAGAAAATTATCATCAACAGGAGTCATGAGAAACATGTTCCTACTGTGTCTGTTCAATCTCCCCTAAAAGAGAACTTGTTTGTTTTCCTGTCCTTGACACTCGAGCACTGTAGGCTGAGTGTTTTATAGAACATCTCATTGCTCAGTTTCTGGCTTCCTGCTGCATCATGTTGGGAACCATACACCTATCTGTCTGTGTTATCTGTAGGGAACAGCTTTGTGACAAAGAGAAGTGTTGCTGGATCCCTTTGTAAAAGGGCGGGGGCGGGGAAGGGGCTTCCCCTTGCAAAGAAAGAGTAAATTATGGGATGATACTTGGGTAGAATTAGCCTGTGCCTCAACAGCTCTTCATTATATGGACTTAGCATCTGTGTAGAACTCTTATCATTATGAATTACAATGTAAGGAGTTACAAAATGGTAATTTTTCTAGCTCAATTACTACAATATTTTTTAGTAGTATTTTCTGAACAAAGCCTCCAATATTTTCCTCTTTTCTCTTTATTTTTGTACAAATGTATGTGTGCATGTATATGTGTATGATTGTGATAACCATTTACTTTGACTAAATTATCTTTTCACTTAAAGGATATTGTCATTTTACTTAATGTCTCAGGCTAGGAAATCTATTGTTTATTTTTTGAGGTAAGAACACATGATGTGGGCTGGAGAGATGGCTCAGAGGTTAAGAGCACTGCTTGTTCTTCCAAAGGTCCTGAGTTCAATTCCCAGCAACCACATGGTGGCTCACAACCATCTGTAGTGAGATCTGGTGCCCTCTTCTGGCCTGCACGGGTGTGTGCAGACAAAACACTGTATACATAATAAATAAATAAATCTAAATTTAAAAAAAAGAATACATGATGCATTTTGATGAATACATAGCAAACAAGACCTCAGAGCAAAACACAGTTCCATTTGTTTCCTGACCCTCTTCTCACAGCCCTCCCCTGCCACTCCCCTGACTACACCAGGTGACTCAGTCAGTGGATGGAGACTCATCTGACTTGTCGCCTCGGAAAAATGGTTTATTCTACTGCTGTTTAAAGTCTTCAGTGGGATTGCACACCGAGGCAAGCGGGAGAATAACTAACAGTTGTTAGGTTTTCATTAGCTAATTGTTTTCTAGAGCTTGAGCATAAAGACAGCTTGCCTTTCTCTCTCTCTCTCTCTCTCTCTCTCTCTCTCTCTCTCTCTCTCTCTCTCTCCCTCCCT